CATGAGTTTCTCAATGGGGAGAAGCACTCTGTACAGAGGCTCCTCCCCATTCAGAAACTGCTTGATAGTAAAATATTTTCTGAATGAATGGGAAGCCTCTTTGCTTTCCATTCATTTAGAATAGAGGCTGCAGAAGAAGAGATTGAGGACTTTGTGTCCTCAATTTCTTTTTCTATTTTAAAAGGGAAATATCAGGGGGCTTTTTAGACCCCTAATATTTCCCCGAAGCCTCCCCAAGAGTAAAATAAAATAAAAAAATTTAAAAAAATAATGAAAATAAAATAAAAAATAGTAAAAAATAAATTTAAAAAACGTTGTTTTTTTTCTTGCCTCAGGTGCAAAAGGAGCTGGCTACGGCTATGCTCCCGTGGTGCTCGTGCGGCTGCCAGCTGAATGTGTCAGACGCTGCAGATGGAAAGGTGCAGGACACCCCATGTGCAACGTCGGCCACACGAGCACCACGGGAGGATAGGACGCCGGGACCTGTAGGGCGCACTGGAATGTAAGCCGGCCGACTCCCTGCGTTCAGGTGCGGGAGGAGGTGTGGAGCTGTATTGAAGTCAATGGCATCGCCCACATTGCGATCGCCCGCACTCGGAACGCAGGCACATTAGTGCCTGCATTCCGGTCCAGTGCGATCTGCAAAAATAGTGCTTGCAGCATTTTTGCGGATCGCACTGGACTGGAACACAGCCACTAATGCAGGCGATCGCACTGTGGGTGAGGGGCCTGCCTGCGCAGCCTACGCCACCTCCCGCCCCTGAATGCAGGTGTTTTTTCGTTGGTAGATCTCAATGAGCTCGTCATTTGAAAAGTAGATCTCCAGACGAAAAATAGTGGGCGCCCCTGCTGTAGGGTAAGCAAAGCACCATGTGCAGAGTATAATGCAAACATATCAAGGATGATGTGGCCCCTTACAGAGACATACTTATCAAGCTATGACTACACATGGAGAAATCAATGATTGAGGTACAGCAAGAATGCACTCCTGCTCTAAAACTGTGGAATGTTCTGTGGCCTAACAAAATACACAGAGGTGAGGAAGGTGCCACTAGCAAATTCCAGTACCCAAAGGTCACATTCCAGTATATCTTTGCCCTCACAGAGTGAGTTTTCAGAGGTCAGTACATACTACAGGCTGTGACCTGTAAAGCACTCCATGGCTAACAAACCAGAACACTGTGTACACTAGCAGAGCCCAGTGCCCGAAACTCACATTACAAGCAGGCCCTGCAATCTTCAGCTCAGTGTGGTCCAAGTACAGCCTCTGAGGCATTGCTGAGTACTAGATGATCCAGATAGCTGTTGTGGAGAGACAAGCTCAAGCAGCATACACATATGTGGTAACTGCGTTTAACCTCCAGGGACACTAGCAAAGGCCAGCATGGCTGTGGTCATGGTTATACTGGGGCTGAGCTTTAACAGTTTTTGTGATTGCCAGTGTCCATTCCTGAAGGCAGCTGAAAACACAGTCATCTACGATTACTACTTCTCCTGTGTCCCTTAATGAATGAGCACAAAACTGAATTTGTGTTACGTTGATATTTCCTTTTAAACAGATCAAAAATAGACCAATGATGATAAACTAACAGTAGATGATAAGCATTGTAAAAGTTCCAATTACACACAAAGTTTAGTGGTAATGCCAAAAGCTAAACCCTTCAAACCCTATAAAACATCTACATGTAAAGTCAGGGGCGTATCTGCCGCGAGGCAAACAAGGCGTTTGCCTCGAGCAGCAGATAACTGGCCGAAAGGATTGTGCAGGATCGATTGGGAAGGTCAGCATAAGACCCTACCAATCGACCACCGATAACCGGGACCGCCGAGCCGCCTCACAGCCTCCTCCCTGCAACGCAACAAGGTAAGCAGGAGAGTGGGCTCTGAACTGAATTGTATTTTAGGACACACCAAACTACACATGTTTTGCTGTAATGTTGCACATGAGAAAGTATTTTTTAGGCGGATTTGTACTGTACTGTGGGGATAGATCTAATCTGACTACACCTTGGTTAACCACTTCAAGACCAGGTGTTTAGACCCCCTTCACATCCAGGCCATTTTTCAGTATTCAGCGCTGCGATACTTTGACTGACGTTTATTCTGTCATGCAACGCTGTACTGAAATTAATTTTACACCATTTTTTAGGGACAGATAGAGCTTTATTTTGGTGGTATTTAATCACCACTGGGGGTTTTATTTTTTATTATAATTAG